GAGTATTCCCCCTCTCAGTACTTAAATCAGCCATTTCTTCAATGATCCTGGTTCTTTGCATTAGATAATAATAGACATTGACATTTTTGAAGAGTTCAGTATACCTATTATGTAGTGTCTCTTAATTTGAATTTGTGTGGTACTTTCGTATTATTCTGCTCAGATTATGTATTTTTGGCAAGAACACCAATCTCAGAGATGATGTATTGTTCTCATTTCATTCTCTCAGAAAGCACATGATGTGGCCTGTGCTGGGGCTTGTTTCGGTGAAAAAAGGTGAAGTGTACTGGAAAACAAAAATAAAAACAACATAGACCCACCCATCCACCCATACTATAATGAAGGTATATCATCGGGACACAGAATTCAACCAAAAGGGCACATCAATCCTCAGTGAAGCCACAGAAATGCATCAGGGAAACTCAGTTGAAGAATGCTACAAAAGTAGTTTGCCAATATTCTTCAAAACTATCAAGATCATAAAAACATGGGACAGCTAGGAAACTGTCACAGCTCAGAAGATTCTTAGCAAACATGATGATTATAATGTGGTATATTGGAAGATATACTGGGATTAAAAAACATTAACTAAAAATTTAGGAACTCTATGGACTTTTAGGTAATAAAGATATATCAGTATTTGTTCACTATGTGTGACAAATATATCATCCTAATGTAAAATCTTAAAAAAATTGTGTACAAGATTCCCAGAAATCTCTGTCCTATCTTTGCAGCTTCTACAATCTGAAACTGTATGGAAATGAAAAGTTCCTAAAGAAATACGTAGCAAGGTCATAAAAGGCAAAGAAAAGCGGAAGAGCATTTTAGAATGAAGGAGAGTTAAAGAGACATCCAAAGCATGATTCTTGTTTTGCTTCTGTACTATTTTTTTTCCTTTTGAAATGAAAGCCATTATTAGGACAGATGGAAATATGAATAATTTCTACAAAGTAGTTGATTGCTCTAAGATTATTTTAATATTTGATGCTTTAAACATAGGAGGTAAATCCAGGATCAGGTTCCATAAGGCAGTTCCTCACCTCTACTGCAATCATTGTGAACGAAATACAAGTAGGCTTAATTTGCTTTGTAAATGATTATTTCTAAGTCGATACTTGAATATCTTGCTTACTAAACCCTTGCCAGTTCATTTATGTAGATCAGATTCCAGAGAAACAAAAGTTTTTTAACTTTACTGAATTGCTGGAGAATTTCCCAAACTGAGAATAAGCTTCTCCCTGTGAAATTCTTCTGTGTCCACAGGACTTTTGCTGAGAGGCAGTGGAGAAGTGAGAGGAGACTATAATGCAGAAGTCTCCCTACCTGAGAATGCAGCCTTGGAGCTGTGGAACTGGATAAGAAATGGAATTAGCATAGGTCGTTTGATATTGTTTTCTTTTTTCTGAAGCCTATTCCCACAGATCATGATGTGTAGACATTAAAAAACAACTTTGATGAGGCAGTGGCAGGAAAAATGGTGAGAAAAATTTAAAGGTTACATGCTCCATTCTCCATGCACATTGGCTAGCTCGGAAATGGGCCCACTTTAAAAATATTCAGTAGGAAATTAGGCTGTGTTTCTATGTGATAAGTGTAATTCTTGCCTCTATTGTTCCCCATTGGTATAATTCTAAGAACTAAATATGAAAAGAAAATTGTCTTAGAGGAAAGTAAATTGAAAAGAATAGGTTTTCTAAGAGAAAGTAGATTAGACATATTAATTTTTTGCATCCTGGGTATTCAGAAATGTTTGAAATGTTAGGCAGTATCATCCACTAAATATATTTCTCAAAATCGAAGAGTTCTTTAATTCCATTTTTAATCTTTATAATTGCTACTTGCAGGGTTGCCTTCAGCAATACAGAAATACTGCTCTGATGGAATGAATGCGCATAATTATTCCAGAACCTCACTCGGACAGAAGTGTAATTATTTGCCTGAACAGAAAGTACTTGAAGTTTTCAACCTCTGATGGAACAAAAGGAAAGCCGTCCTCCAGGTAAGCTCTAGAGTGGACTCACCTCTGAATCTAGTGCTTTTCCAGCTTGCATTGAGGAATGTTATCTCTCAGCAGATTCTCTCAGAATTGCATCATTAGAGATACCTTGATATTTTTAGCTTGTAATACCCTATTTTATCATAATTCCCTTCTCGGTGGACTCAATGATGAGATTAAGAGTAATGCTTTAACAGAAAAAAATTAATTTTGTGCATTTTATATGTATAGGAGATGAAAACTGCATAGCAAAAATGTTGTGCTACATTGGATCACAATTAAATAAGGAAATCTCTCCTTTGAGTGACTTTGGGGAGTTTTCAGAAGATTTCAGGACCAACCCTTTCCAGAAGGCCCATTCTTTGTTACCTCCATCCCCAGCCACCAAAACCAGAACATTTAACTTTAGTATAGCAGTTAAAAGGAAGCATGAATGTTTAGAATCAAAATGCTACCTCCATACCTAAGCAAAAAATATAACAGTAACATCCATTATAGAGTGAAGGTGAATAAAGCCTACTACAGTAAACTATTAATACATTTCAGAGTAAACTTCGAGTAAGAGCCTAAAAGCGATGAGGACTATCAATTGGTCAGTAACAATAGCCCTGAGCTAGAAGCAGTCTGCAGATTATAGTTTGCACTTAAATTGTGGTTAATAAAAAATGAACATGAGGATATAGAAGCACAACTTTTCATTTAGCAAGACTGACAGGACGTATATTGGAAGCCCTTTTATAGCCTTGTTTCTTTTATGCACTGCTCTTCAACTTAGCTGATTCAGGATACTAAATGGGGTACACAGCCTTAGATTTGCCCTCACTGCCTGCATTGACCTTCCTTTCTAATTGGAAAGGTAAAACAAACACTCAACACATTGTTTCCCAGACTGCTGTGAGACGAAGTGGAGGCTGGTTTTCATTTCCTGTTGCTGGTGATAGATACAGATTACTAGGGACAACTGAAGCATCAATTCAGTATTCCATGTTTTCATCGCTAGCTTCATGGGTATAAAAAGTAGCTGTGGAGGACACAGCAGAAGTATATGCAGCCTTCTAGTCTCTGGATAGAACTCTGGTAGTTATAGTTGAGTTCTCTTGACCACGATAGGGTAGACTTTGCCTCTTCTCTTCTGCCCCACCAGGACATTCAGTGATTTGGCAGGCCCCTAATTTCTTATGTTAGTTCTTTTCCCTCTTGCAATATTTTAATTATTCCTTCTAGAATGGGCATTAAGTTCTAACTGATTACTATATTACTATATATATATTTATATAATATATATATTCATATAGATTTCTATGTAGCATTTTGTTTGCACAGTGAGGTTCAGTAATTCTTTAAAAAGTCCATCTATTAGTTTCACAAAGTCTGGAGTTAAAGAAAGTTGTCCAATTATTGAACTTCATAAATAGTATCTTTTTGGAGATTTCTAACTGATTATTACAGTGGTATGGAAAGTAGGAAAAATAAATAGTTCTCTTGGACAATCCTATGTTAATCATACTTAATGTTTGATTGACGCTCTCTATTACAAAAACTCTCTTGGAAGACACACAATGCTAAGTTCCCAGGCTTTGTAAACAGAATCAGAAAAGAGAATCATCTACTTAATGTTCTAACAATATTTACATTGAATTCGAACATTAATGGACTCATTAATGGACATTAATGGACTCATATTAAATAGTGTCATTATGAGCAAATTGGATATATTTGTGTGAATAAGAAAAGGAGATACTTTCAGGACCCCCTTCCCACAAAAACAACTTTGAAATAGATGCACCCAGGGTATAAAAATATAAAAGATAATGCCTCTTCCTCCTGCCTCTTCCTCCTAGTGGACAAAACTTATGCTAAGGATTTCAGCTACAACTCTCCATTTCCTTGGCTGACCTTGTATATGGCATGGAATGCACACTGTTCCTGAGGACTCTTTCCACATGCTTGTCACACTGCTTGGAATATGGTAGATAGGTACAATAAGTACTGAATTAATTAAATTTGTCTTCTAAGAGTCCAGCCAGTGAAGTATGACAAAGAAGAAAGTATAATATGTGCCTTTATCTCTTTATCTTCTGCACATAATCTGAGGTCTGATGCATATATGAGGAATCTTTAAAATTTTCTCCAGAAACAGACATATTGGTTTCAGAGTGCTTCAAGAAAGGCCAACCTACTTGAAGAAAAACTCCATGGAAAAACATAATGTTGTCAGTTTCTTTCTGGTTCTCATTTCTTTGGTATGGTGTTAATATGCAAACTGAGTCATAAGAACTAAAGAAAGAGTCAGAGCGCCCTTACCTTGAGAAGGTCAAGAGGTTGGACATACTTTGGCTTTAGTGTGATAAAACTGGGCTTAAGCATGTGAATTTTTTTTAAATCTTTTTTTACATTACATACACTTTCCTCCTGAATTTATGAGTAAATGTATGTGTATGTTCGTCAGTATTTGTAGATGGTCTAGAATAAATCTATTATCTCTTCTGATCTATACAGCAGGGCAACCAATTCATTTGTTAATGTCAGATGCCATTGTACTATCTTACTATGGCTTATATAGTTTTTGCCAAGATGTGTTAGGTAATTCTTATCTTTTTACTCTAGTATGTAGAGACCTTGGGTTTTATTTTTCTCTTAGTTCTTTAATAAATTTTAATTATTTGATTTCATCAATTCAAACATAATATACTTAGTCTGGTTTCCTTTCTGTTTATGCTAGATTGAATTTGAGAAATTCTTGGATTGGAATTTATAATTTTTAACAAATTTGAGAAAAATAGTAATAATTTCTTCAATTATTTCCAGCTCCTTTCCTTCTAGAAATCTAACTACACATGTGTTATACTACTTGTTATTGTAACAGTTGTAAATAAGACTGCTCATTTGTTCAGTCTCTTCCTCTTTCTTCTTCTCCTCCTCCTTCACTTTTTTTAGTGTAGAACTTTCTTGTTTTTGTTTTTGTTTTCAAATGGGGTCTCACTCTGTCGCCCAGGCTGTAGTGCAAAGGTGTGATCTTGGTTCACTGCAACCTCTGCTTCAAAGGCTCAAACCGTCCTCCCACATCAGCCTTCTGTGTAGCTGGGACCATAGGCATGCACCACCACACCCAGCTAATTTTTGAATTTTTTGGCTAAAGATAGGGTTTTGCCATGATGGCCAGCCAATCTTTAGCATAGGACTTTGTATTAGCTCATTCTGTCATGGCTAATGGAAACATCCCCCAGACTGGGTAACTCATAAAGGAAAGAGGTTTAATTGACTCACAGCTCTTCAGGGCTGGGGAGGCCTTAGGAAATTTACAATCATGGCAGAAGGGGAAGCAAACATGTCCTTCTTCACATGATGACAGGAAGGAGAAGTGCCCAGCAAAATGGGAAAAGCCACTTATAAAACCATCAGATCTTAAGAGAACTAACTCACCATCATGAGAACAGCATGGAGGTAACCACCCCCGTGATTCAGTTACCTCCCCCCAGCTCCATTCCTCAACGCATGGGGATTATGACAACTACAATTCAAGATTATGTTATATGTAAATTTTCAGTGCTGCAAAAGAAGTAGCACTTGAATATAATTTCCTCACCAAGGCAACTTACTTCTATAGAAGAGTGTGGCTCTCAGATGGAACAATGATGAACACATACCAGGGCAAGAAAGGGGAAAAGCGTTCTTATTCCTGATGTAGATAAGCCCCTACTGCCATTCCCCTATTAGCTAGGGTTAGACCCCATAGTCTATTCTAATTCTGATTGGCTATTTTATGGGGAGCACGAGTACAAGCTGGAGTGGTGGGGTGGGTAGTTTGGCAGGAAGAACAGTTATGGGACAGGTCAGAGCAGGTAGCCAGGGGTGACCTAGGTCAAAGCAAGTGATCAGGGCGGGTGACCAGGATGAGTCAGGATGGAGCAGGGGACCAGGGGAGCATATGTGAACTACTGATTAGAGCTTATGGAAAAGGTTTACTAAAACTACAAGGAAGTTAAACTTTAAAATGGCGAACAAAGAACTGGACATACTGACATACTAATTCCTTGAAGAGAAACTTGGAGTTCACTGTATTTAACAATGAGATTTCAGTGGAGACAGAGCCAAACCATATCATTCCATTTCTGGCTCCTCTCAAATCCCATGTCCTCATATTTCAAAACACAATTATGCCTTTCAAACAGGCCTCCAAAGACTCAGCACATTCCAGCATTAACCCAAAAGTCCAAGCCCAAAATCTCATCTGAGACAAGGGAAGTTTCTTCCCCTTATGAGCCTGTACAATTGAAAGCCAATTAGTTACTTCCTAGATACAATGGTGGTACAGGCTTTGGATTAATACACCCATTCCAACTGGGAGAAATTGAAGGAGGTACAAGCCCCATAAAGTCTAAAATGAAGGGGCTACAGGGCCCGTGTGAGTCTGAAATCCAGTGGGACAGTCAAATCTTAATCTCTTAAATAATCTCCTTTGACTCCATGTCTCACATCCAGGTCATGCTGATGTGTCAGTCTCTGACTCTGTGATGGGAGGGGCTGTCATAAAGATGTTCACAGATGGAGCAATGGAGAGCAGACACCTGAACAACGGAGGGAAAGGGGTTCTTATTCCTGATAGAGGTAGCCCCTACTGCTGTGTCATTCCGTATTGGCCAGGGGAAGGCCGATGACATGCCCTAGAGACATTTTTCCCCATTGTTTTGGTGATTAACATGTGGCTTCTCATTACTTATGCAAATTTCTTCAGCCAGCTTGAATTTTTCTTCAGATAATTGGTTTTTATTTTCTATTGTGTTGTCTGACTGCAGATTAAACTTTTATGGTCTTTCACCTCTTGAATCCTTTTCTGCTTAGAAATTTCTTCTGCCAGATACTATAAATCATCTCTCTCAAGTTCAAAGTTCCACAGACCTGTAACGCATGGATAAAATGTCTCCAGTCTCTGCATAGCAAGAGTGGCCTTTGCTCCAGTTCCCAACAAGCTCCTCATCTCCATCTGAGACCAGCTTAGCCTGGACTTCATTGTCCATATCACTGTCAGAATTTTGGTCATAGCCATTCAAAAAATCTCTAGGAAGTTCCAAACTTTCCCACATCTTCCTCTCTTCTGAGCCGTGCATGTCTCTAGGAAGTTCCAAAGTTTCCCACATTTTTCTGTCTTCTTAGTTCGCCAAACTGGTCCAACCTTTGCCTGTTACCCAGTTCCAAAGTTACATCCACATTTTCAGGTATCTTTATAGCAGCACCCCACTCACTGTCATACCAATTTATTGTATTGCTCCATTCTCACATTGCCAAAAAAGACATACCTGAGATTGGGGAATTTATAAAGGAAAGAGGTTTAATTGACTCACAGTTCCACTTGGCTGGGGAGGCCACAGGAAACTTAATATCATGACAGAAGAGGAAGGAAACATGTTCCTCACATAATGGCAGGAAGGAGAAATGCCAAGCAAAGGGGAAAAGCCTCTTATAAAACCATCAGGTCTTGTGAGAACTCACTTACTTTGAAGAGAAAAGAATGGAGTTAACTGCCCCCATGGTTCTGTTACCTACCACCAGGTCTCTCCCATGATTATGGGAACTACAATTCAAGATGAGACTTGGGTAGGTATCAGGCTCATTTGCTGTTATTTGTTTATATTTGTTTTGTTGTTGCTATATCTTCACAGTCATTGATATTCTCTTCTGTAGTATCTACTCTTCTCTCACGCCCTTTCAGTAATTTTTTTTTTCTCTTGGGGTATTTATTTTTCATCTCTTGAAATTCTATTTACCTATATTTATAGCTTCAGTTTCCTCATTAAATTTTTATATTCCTTTAAATCTCACATTTCTAACAGGTTTTCTAAAGATTTATTCTCTAATTTCAATAGCTCTGATATATCTTTATGTTTTTATTTTCATTCTTTTTTCCTTTAGGGACAAAGTCTCTCTCTGTCACTTAGGTGGGAGTGCAGTGGCACTATGATAGTTCACTGCTGCATTGCACTCCTGGGCCGGAGGGATCTTTCCACTTTAGCCTCCCAAATAGTTTACTGTAGATGCACACAACCATGCTTGGCTTTTTTTTTTTCCTGTAGAAACAGGGTCTTGCTACGTTGCCCAGGCTAGTCTCAAACTCTTGGTTTCAAGTTACCCTCTTGTTTCAGCTTCCCAAATAGCTGGGACTATAGGCACACATCACCACACACAGATACTTCTTTCAAAAAACTTTTTGTACTTATAGTCTCACTGTGTTGCCCAGGCCGGTGTTGAATTCCTGGGCTCAAGTGATCCTCCCTCTTCAGACTTCCAAAGTTCTAGAATTACAAGCACGCACCACTGTGCCCAGCTTGGATGTCTTACGTTTGATTCAAATTTCTTCCATTTGTAATTCTAATTTTTTTTATTTTTGCTTTTTTCCATGTCTAGTATATTTTGTATTGAATACAAGGCATTGCTAATGTCACCTATTTACAGTTTGATGGCTGCTGTCTTCAATTAAAACATGTAAAATATTGTTTGGTAAGTTTGTTACTTGCAGATGAACTTTCAATGCTTTTTCGGCTTGGTTTTTGTTTATTTTATTGGAGATCCAGAAAGCCTTTATTGTAGGTCAAATTTAGCTTTCCTATTAAGGTCTTAACACTATAAGATTTCTCCTGGACTTTTTGAATATATAACAAGAACAAGGTTTCTACATTTTTATGGATTACAACTTGAACAATCTCTAGTTCTTTCTGAGCCCTTTGAATTGTTCAGCTACATCTCCTAGTAGTTCTTTTTCCAGTATGTTGATGGTTTACCCTACAAAAGTACAGTTTTGTATTCAACGGACTCATGCTATTCCTTGAGCAGGTTGCTCAAATTTCTTTTCTGTGTAGTTCCTGCATTTTAGTAATTTGCCCTTTACATTGCAGCAGTGACAGCTTCCCCAGACTGTAGTCTTTGCCTTGCCAACTGAGCAAGATCACTGTGTCCTTCTTGTGTTTCTTCTCTCCATACTACTTAGGAAAGTGAATCATGGCATAAAACCAAAGAATTCATAGTGGCCATTCTTGTTTATTTGTTTCCATGTTCTCTCAGGAATGACAGTCGTGTAATTACTTGTTCAATGTCTATAAATATTGTTTTAAAATATTACTTTATTTAATGTCCCTTCCTTAGAGAAAACACTGCAACTACCTCTCCTGTTGCCCATATATTATACTGAATATAGTGTTATAAATAAGTGTTCCCCTTTTCAGTAGCATTGCATTTCAGTAACAGGGCATTTAGTGTTCATTACAGATTAATAAGCTGTTTTGACTTCCACTTTCCATTGTAAGCCATTTGTCTATTAAGGGAAATGGACAGCTCAGTCTCCAGTGGTATAGATTGTAAGCATAAATAGTGATTAGATTGGAATATTAATTATGGTTTCTCTCTGAAATGATCAAAAGTAAAGATATACTCTGGATAATTCAGGTTTATCATTCTGAAGTGGAAATACAGCTACATTACACTTTTATTTGTAAACCTTAGTAGTTTCAAGTCTTTATCATTCAGTTAGGAAACTTTTTTCCTTGAATATTTACCTTGCCCCACAAGTATTTCTGGAAATCTCCAAGGAGTGCTTTATATGGATTTTCAATTTGGTTTTGGTCCTTGTTCTTCTATAGCCTTATTTTGAGAAAAACTAAAATTCCATTAGTCTGGGATTTGATTTTATTTGAATAATAAAGATATAGCTACTATTTTTATTTGCAGAAGTAGATTGATGTTGAGAAGCTATTCACTCACAGTTCTGATTACTTGAGACACAAAAAAAAGAAAGTGCTCTTTCCTTTAAGTTGAATTGTATCGCTTTTACTCCAGGTCTGTTTTAGCACCACTGCAATAGAACAATTCCGAGATACAGTTTTATTCTTGTTACGACTCCTTCCTTATTGTCAAAGGTGCTAGAAGTCCATGCTAGCCACCCCCACTTTGGGAAATCTCTTTCGGATGAGCTGATGCTTGCTGAAAGTAGACTTAGATTTTCCCGTATCCTCTACTTTGTTTGATCATTATTTATGACAGGAGTATTATTTTGTCTGTCTGTGTTACTCTTAGGCAGCAGCGGTTCCAAAGCAGAATTTAGTCTGGACCTGATACAGAATTTAGTGAGACGCCTCTTTCAATTAATATTGTATGGCCTTTTTTTCCACCTCTATGGTGTATATGGGTTGCCAGAGTGGTAGATTCAGCCATTTTCTGATGTCATTCACTCTGCTGTTTCCAAAACAAATATGCAGTGATTCTCAGGATCTTTATTTTCTTACTCTGAGCATTGTTGTTTATCACTGCAATCTTTTTTTTTAGGGGTTCTGCTATTTAATCTAAAATATACTTGTGAAACTTAGATGCTGAAAAAGTTGAACCCTTCCTCACTAACCATCCTTAATGGATTCCTTGGCTTCTCCCCTTCATCAATTTTATCTTTTTTTTTTTCTAATTCTACACATAGGTTTTATATCTTAGTTTTTATTCAGCTTAACAAGCCTATTTATTACCTAAGTAAAATAGCAGCCAATTTCTAAATGTCAGAAAGTCATTGTAGAGCTGTTTTAAAACTCACAGTTGTCTCTGAGTATTATATAGTTGTGTCCTTCAATAGAAAAAATAAATAGGTATATGTAGCCTTAATTTATTACTTCTGGTTTCTTGAATACTAGTGGAAATCAAGAGTGGTTTTAGAAAACCATATTCTACGTTGTATAAATTTATAGAAAGACTGTTGGAATTTTGATTCATGTATTTATAACAATGGACACCAATGATTATACCTGGCTTTGTGTCACTAATAATGAGCAACAGATTGTCTAAGATGTGCAGCTGCTAGGCTGCTGAGCTGGAATCTACACAAGCACTACAGCTCTTTTAATCAGGCTCTCCAACTCAGTGGCCCATTTCCTAAGGAATTACATCAATACTCATCAGTTCTTCTTGGCAAATCTTATATTTTCCTTTTATTGCAGGCATGATTTTTTCCTTTGAGACAGATGGAAATATATTAACTATTTATATTTAAGATATGAAACTTTTTTCATAACCAATTTATTATCTTGATCCACTTCTTTCCCTGTCCTATTTTGAAACATGACACATAAAACATTTTTAAGCACAGATGGAGGTGACCACCTGTCAACATATGTTGTAGAAAAGTTTAATACATTTATAACACAATCTCAAATCTTAGACTGCAAGAGTTTATAAAAGTAATAATTGTTTTTTTCTGAGTAAAAGATATGTTTTCCAATTTGAAATGTTTTAAAATTGGACTTCACACTGTCATCAATTGTGAAACAGTCGAATTGTTTTATACAGTTATGGCATCAAATTTGGAACTCTGCCAAGTAGTTCTCAAAATTTTCTTTTATTTGTAATATTCTGAAATCTATTGAGTGTCTCTGAAATCCATGTGAGTGTACATGTAGCCACGTAATGAAATGGCCTTTCAGAATATACATACATTATATAACCATAAAATTAGGTCATAACAAATGCAGTGTTAGTCTAAATGGTATTATAGAAATATTTATCAAGAAAATATGTGAATGACATTACAGTGGCAAACTGGGTATTCTGTTAGCATATTCTTCCAGGTTATTGCTACCTTTTATTATCTTTGTTCTGTAACTCTAAATTACAGAAAACTGACAGTACTGCAAGTGATTTTTGTTCCTAGAAAGGCAGACTTGTCCCATAAAATATTGTTGATTATTTTTCTGTGGTTATTCACCAACGTTGCATCTATTATGTAAATTATTTGCAATATTCCTGATTGCAATATTCCTGATTCCTGATTCCTGTATGTGTTCATCCTTTCTATTTGCCTTTGATCCAGTTGTAGCAGTTGATTGTTTTTCTCATTTATTAATAAAATTAAAATCTTGACAGGTGTATATTTACATTTGTATCAGAATGGTGATTTTGCTTTTAATAACTATTTCTTAACAAATTTTATTATAATTTAAATGTTTATTTTACTAAATATGGTTTACTAAACATTGACAAAATGTTTACTTTATTAAAGTTTGTTTGATTATAGTATTTTAGTTGAATAATTTCAGAAATTTTATATTAATTTTAAATTAATTTTTATGTTAATTTTATATTAATTTTTGTATCGTTTGTGCCATTTTTCTTTTATCTGCAGATACGTTCTATCATAATTTCTTTATAATAATATACTGAAAACTAGAACTATCAGAAGGATTTTTAAAGCATTTTTAGTCAATTAATAAATAATACGTTGAATCAGCCATAAATGTGAGAGCACACTAGCTATGGTTTATTACTTTACCTATCTTCAAGTTTTAAAAATTATATGAACAATTATATGAAATCTCTTAGAAATGGATAAGTTGACATAACCAACCATATAGGAAAAGGGGCTTGGGATTCATTCACTTCTTTGCTGACAGTTTTAGAAACCACTATTTAGAAATGCTATAACATCATAAAAACTCATATTTTTATTTAGATTAAGGTATAAAAATATTTAACTGAGTACTATCAACAGTAAAACTTGCTAAATGCTGAAGATGCAAAATAAATAAGTTATGTTGCGTACTTTCAGGAAAAATTAAATCTACATCCGAAAATGGATGAACAAGATACTTTTCTTGGGTTTGGTACTGTATACAAACTAAATAGCTGAACTAATGATAACAGTTGTCTAATAAGCAGGTTACATTAAATTAGTGATAAGCATTACCTTTATTGTGTAGAAGGCTACCCAGTTAATAGTATATACTTGTGACAAATGACTCCAAATACAGTCACATTTTTTATAAATTTGATAATAGATTTAGCCTAAGTCCTCACAGCATATTTGTTCAGTTTAGTTAGTGTAATAATACCTTATTCAGTGCCTACATATGTTCCTCTGGGCTATATTATAGGATTAAATGATTAAGATGGCATAGATTTTCCTTTTAGTTAAGCAAATATAAGTGCTGTTGAAGAGGCAAAGGGAAGAAACATAAATAAATATATAAAAATGCTGCAGGAGTTGCAACAGAATTATGAACAATGAGTTAATACACCAAAAACAGAGCAAATTAATCCAAGAAAGTGTATAAAGTTTCCACGCGGCAGGAAACTTTTGAACTATTGTTTAAGGGGAAGTCAGTTGTATTTAGAAAAACAAAAAAGAGAGCATTTCGGAAGGAAGACTCGCTGTGTGCTGTCGCAAGGATCACAACAAGTAAGTAGGGTCCAGACATGCAGTGAAACATGGCAAGGGAAACAGAGATGAGTCTTGGTGGTGGAGAGAGAGAAGACAAAGCGGAAGGGGCAGAAATCGTAAAACACACCTAAGAAATTAAATTAAGAATCATTTATAAACAATTATGTATTCTGTTTTAACCGTTTTGCTATAGATCTCCTATGGAGAATTGTGTATGAAGCAACAATTTAATCAGGAATTTATAACATTAAATGTAGTGGAAATAAGTAGAATCTAATGGAAGTGGAGATTAAAAGCAGGGAGGGCAATTAAGATGTCTGATGATTTTTAATATGTACATTTATCTTGTCATTTGTTGAGATATCAATTTATAATTGTTATGTTATTTTATAAAACGACCTCCTAGGTACAATATTAAAATAGATAGTGTGTCTTTAGAAACCTTTGAGACCCCAGTAGCTGAGACTTACATACTTCATCATGACCAGCTTCCCTAGCAGCTCTCTACAGACTTGTGCTTTTATAGTCATTCTGTCTTAAAGCCTGGTCTCAGGGGGTAAAAAATAAGTAGTGATTTAGATCTATGTGTGAGTTCAAATAAACTTATTATTGTTTTCATGATGTTTTACATTTGAAATTTAATCTCCAAGCCTAGAGATAATAATTCATTTATGTGACATCTGGGATATTAATAAATGAGATTTTTTTTACTCTGTGATATTTGTTGTTGCATAATTATTGTTGATTATGCTACTATTACAATGGGAAGTGTCTCTATCAGAAGATAAGGTTGAGATGGGAAGCAACTGGGAAGCAATTGGTCAAAGAATACAGAATTTCAGTTAGGTAAGAGAAATAGTTTCAAGAGGTCTACTGTACAACATGACTATATTTAATTAATAACAATGTATTATACTTTTGAAGATTGCTATGGTAGTGGATATTAAGCTTTCTCACCACAAATAATAAGTGCATGAGGTAATATGTGTGTTAATTAACTCAGCCATTTTACAGTCTATAAACATTTAAAATATGTTGTACACAATAAATATAATTTGTATTTGTTAATAAATTCAGTTTTTAAAAGACTTCTTTCATTTCCTTACTGTGTTAACAATTATGATGATTAAAATTTAAAATATCAACTTTGAAGTTTTTCATTCTTTATGTTTTTATGTAATTTATCTCTTCACTAGTAAATCTACAGATTACATTTCCATGACAGTAAAAGACTCTCCCAAAATCCTTGAAGTAAAAAAACTAGCTCTTGCTTAATAGAAGCATGTATATTTTACTTAAGAAAAATTTTATTACAGATGTGAGCCTTCTGTGTTCAGTTTCATGTAATTGTGCAGTTTTGAGTCAGTTGCTTAATTCCGAGTTCCAATTTGATTGCGCCGTGGTCTCAGAGACCATTTGTTATGATATCTATTCTTTTACATTTGCTGAGGAGTGTTTTACTTCCAATTACGTAGAAAAACTATTGCAAAAAGACTGAAAATTCCAAAAACAAGAATACCTCTTCTCCTCCATAGGATCACAATTCCTCCCCACCAAGGGAACAAAACTGGACGGAGAATGACTTTGACAAATTAACAGAGGTAGGCTTCAGAAGTTGGGTAATAAACTCTTCTAAGCTACAGGAGCATGTTCTTAGTAAGGAAGCTAAGAACCTTGATAAAGGGTTAGAGGAAAGACTAAGTAGAATAACCAGTTTAAAGAAGAACATAAATGACCTGATGGAACTGAAAAATACAGCAGGGGAACTTTCTGAAGCATACAAATGTATCACTAGCTGAATCGGTCAAGCAGAAAAAGAATATCAGAGATTGAAGACCAACTTAATGAAGTAAAAACAGGAAGAAAAGATTAGAGAAAAAAGAATGAAAAGGAATGGACAAAGCCTCCAAGAAATACAAGACTACGTGAAAGAGACCAAACCTATGTTTGATTGGTGTACCTGAAAGTGACAGGGAGAATGGCATCAAGTTGGAAAATACTCTTAAGGATTCTATCCAGGAGAACTTCCCCAACCTTGCATGACAGGCCAGCATTCAAATTCAGGAAATACAGAGAACACTACAAAGATACTCTTTGAGAAGAACAACCCCAAGACACATAATCGTCAGATTAATCAAGGTTGAAATGAGGAAAAAATGTTCATTTTGGAGAGAAAGGTTGGGTTACCCACAAAGGGAAGCCCATCATACTAACAGTGGATGTCAAGCTGAATAAAGAGTCAAGACCCCATCAGTGTGCTGTATTCAGAAGACCCATCTCAAGTGCAAAGACACACATAGGCTCAAAATAGAGGGAGGGAGGAAGATTAAACAGGTAAATGGAAAGAAAAAAAAAAGCAGTTGCCATTTGCCATCCTAGTCTTTGACAAAAAGACTTTAAACCATTAAAGTTTAAAAAGAAAAAGAAGGGCATTATATAATGGTAAAGGGACCAATGCAACAGGAAGAGCTAACTATCCTAAATATATATGCACCGAATACAGAAGCACCCAGATTCATAAAGCAGAATCTTAGAGACCTACAAAGAGACTTAGACTCCCACACAATAGTAGTGGGAGACTTTAACACCCCCTGCCAATATTTGATCAACAAGTCAGAAAATTAACAAGGATATCCAGGACTTGAGCTCAGCTCTGGAACAAACTGACCTAATAGACATCTACAGAACTCCCCACCCCAAATCCACATAATATACATTCTTCTCAACACCATGTTACACTTATTCTAAAATTGACCACATAATTCAAAATAAAACACTCCTCAGCAAATCCAAAAGAATGGAAATTATAACTAACAGTCTCTCAGACCGCAGTGCAATCAAATTAGAACGCAGGATTAAGAAACTCACTCAGAACCACACAGCTACATGGAAACTGAATAACCTGATCCTAAATGACTACTGGGAAGAAACAAAATTAAGGAGGAAATGAAGATGTTCTTTGAAACCAGTGAGAACAAAAACAAAATGTACCAGTATCTCTGGGACATAGCAAAAGCAGTGAGTAGAGGGAAATTAATAGCACAAAATGCCCACTGGAGAAAGTGGGGAAGATCTAAAATCAACACCCTAACACCACAATTAAAAGCACTAGAGAAGCAAGCCTAAACAAATTCAAGAGCTAGCAGAAGACAAGAAATAACCAGGATCATAATAGAACTGAAAGAGATAGAGAGTCAAAAAACTCTTCAAAAAGTTAGTGAATCCAGGAGCTGGTTTTTTGAGAAGATTAACAAAATAGATAGACTGCTAACCAGACTAGTAAAGAATAAAAAAGAAAAAAACAAATAGACACAATAAAAAAAAGATAAAGAGGATATCACCACTGATCCCTCAGCAATACAAACTACCATCAGAGAATACTGTAAACACCTCTCTGGAAATAAACTAAAAAATCTAGAAGAAACTGATAAATTCCTCCCAAGACTAAACCAGAAAGAAGTCGAATCAATGAATAGACCAATAACAAGATCTGAAAATTAGGCAGTAATTAACAGCTTACCAACCAAAAAAAAAAAAAAAAAAAAAAAAACCAGATATAGAGAGGCCTCAGAAATAATGCCACTCATCTACAACCATCTGATCTTTCACAAACCTGACAAAAACAAGCAATGGGGAAAGGATGCTTTAATAAATAGTGGTGGGAAAACTGGCTACCTATATGCAGAGAACTGAAACTGGACCCCTTCCTTACACCTTATACAAAAATTAACTCATGATGAATCAAAGACTTAAACATAAAACCTAAAACAAGAAACCCTCAACTAAAAGGCAGGCAATACCATCCAGTACATAAGCATGAGCAAAGACTTGATGACGAAAACATCAAAAGCAATGTCAACAAAAGCAAAATTGACAAATTGGATCTAATTAAAGGAGCTTCTGCCCAGCAAAAGAAACTATCAGAGTGAAAAGGCAACCTACAGAAAGGGAGAAAATTTTTACAATATACCCATCTGACAAAGACCTATTATCCAGAATCTATAAGGAACATAAGCAAAATTTCATGAAAAAAAAAAAACCATCAGAAAATGGGTGAAAGATATGAAAAGGCACTTCTCAGGAGAAGGTATTTATTGGCCAACAAACATAGGAAACAAAGCTCATCATCTCTGGTTATTAGAGAAATGCAAATCAAAACCACATTGAGATACCGTCTCACACCAGTTAGAATGGCGATCAGTAAAAAGTCAGGAGACAACAGATGCTGGAGAGGATGTGAAGATATAGGAATGCTTTTACACTGTTATTGGGAGTATAAATTAGTTCAACCGTTGTGGAGGACATTGCGGTGATTCCTCAAGGACCTAAAATCAGAAATACCATTTGACCCAGCAATCCCATTACTGGGTATATAACCAAACAATTATAAATTACTATAAAGACACATGCACATGTATGTTTATTGCAGCACTATTCACAAGAGAAATGACTTGGAACTAACTCAAATGGCCATCAATAATAGACTGGAAAAAGGAAATGTGGCACATATTCATCATGGAATACTATGCAGCCATAAAAAAGATGAGCTTATGTTCTTTGCAGGTACATTGATGGAGCTGGAAACCATCATTCTTGGCAAACTAACACAAGAACAGAAAACCAAACACCACATGTTTCTCACTTGTAAGTGGGAGTTGAACAATGAGAACACATAGATACAGGGTGGGGAACATCACACACCTGGGCCTGTCAGGGTGTGGGGGGATTGGGGAGGGATAGAATTAGGAGAAATACCTAACATAGATGACAAGTTGATGGGTGCAGCAAACCACCGTGGCACGTGTGTACCTATATAACAAACCTGCACATTCTGCCCTTGCATCCCAGAACTTAAAATATATTTTTAAAAAGTGGACTCCTCTCTAGGCCTCAGTATAGTCAATAATTTCCATTCTATAAAATTTACTCAATATTTTTTAAATATCTTGTTAATTGAGCTATAATTTTCAGACCACAAGTTTCACCTCTTTAGATGTTCAGTTCTACATGCTCTAACAAACATACACAATCATGTGAACACTACCGAAGTCAAGAGAAAGGATTTTCCATCACCACTGCACTAACACAAATTTCATGCTGCTTTACAGTCCTTCCTTTTCTCCACCTGCAACCCCTGGTAACCACTGAACTGTTGTCGCTATACTTTTACCTTTTTCAGAATATCAGATAAATGGAATATTCAAACATGGAGTTATAATATGGCTTCCTTCCTTTAGCATATTGGCCATTCACCGAGGTTATTGTATTGCTTAGGAAAATTCTGTGTACATGCACCACATTCTGTCCATTCACCTTGTGTGGACATTTTGGTTTCCTTGAGTTTTTGGAGATTATAAATAAAACCATTATAAACATTTGTGAACCTGGTCTTGTGTGGACATATGTTTTCATTTGTCTTGAATAAATACAATATCTAGGAGTTATATTTTGGAGTCATATGGTAACTATATAAGGAACTGCCAACATATTTTCCAAAGTAGTTGTACCATTCTGCATACTAGCAACTAGTGAGTTTTGCAACTACCTTGCATCCTCACCAGTTCTTGATATAGCCTGGTGTCTTCTATACCTTTGGAAAATGCCTCTTCAAATCTTTTGCTGTTTTTCTTAATGGTTTGTTTTCTTATTCTTGAGTTTGAGTTGTCTTTACATTTTAGGGATGATTTTCTTATCAGATACATGTTTTGCAAATATCTTTTCCCATAATATAGTTGTCTTTTAGTTTCTTTGAAAAGTATGTTTGCATAAGGAGACATTTTTAATGTAAATGAAATCTAATATTTTTTTGTGATTTGTGCTTCTTACCTGTCCTTTGACAAAATATTTGCCTAAGAAAGAGTACATTTTCTCCTAAGTCATCTTCTAGCTGTTTGTATTCATGTTTTTGTTTATTTAGATTTTTTTTGTATATAGCACAAGTTATGAGTTTGTTTTTTGCATATAGATGCTGAGTGTTACCAGTATCATTTGCTGAAAAGACTCATTTTTTGCATTAATTACCTTGGCAATTTTACTGAAAATTATTTAACCATATTTGTTTGGGTCTTTTTCTTAGCTGTCTCCTTTGTTCTGTTGATCCATGGGTCTATTTTCTCACCAATACCACAGTTTATTGATTGTTATATCTTTGTAGTAAGTCTTGAAATCTTGTAATATGAATCTCCCAACTTTGGTCTTATTTGTAATTACTTTGGCTATTCTTATTTCTTTGCATTTTCATCTAAATTTTAAAATTAGCCTTTCCATTTTTTATAGAAAAAACATGCAATAATTTTGGCTGGAGTTGTGCTGAATATGTAGATCTGAGTCTACATTCATGTAGCTCTTTTTATCTCTCAACCATGTGTTATATATTGCACCATACAAATGTGAACATATTTTTGAGAATGTGCGTGTTAATTATGTCATGGTTTTGATGCTATTTTAAATGCTACTTTAAATATTATTTCTAGTTGTTCATTGATTGCATATAAGGATATTATTGATTGTTACATATTGATCTTGTATCCTGCATTCTTGCCAAAATTGATTTTAGTTCTATTCATTTTTTTATAGACTTTGAGAAAGTCTGTGTAAATAAGTCATCTATGTATTCATTTCCAATCTATATGGCTTTAATTTTTTTTATCTTTTTTATTGCTAGGATATTTATAATTTAAAAAATTTTGTATTTTACTTATTTATTTATGAGACACGATATTACTCTGTCACCCGGGAGTGCAGCGGTGCAATCTCTGCTCATTGCAACCTCTGCCTCCCGGGTTCAAGCAATGCGCCGGCCTCAGCCTCCCAAGTAGCTGGTACTACAGGCCTATGCCATCATGCCCAGCTAATTTTCTTTTGTATTTTAAGTAGATATGGGCTTCTTCCATGTTGGCCAGGCTGGTCTCAAACTTCTGATCTCAAAAGTGATCCACCCACCACAGCCTTCCAAAGTGCTAGGATTACAATGTGACCCACTGTACCCAGCCTTATCATGCTGTTTAATGGTAGTTTAAGTGTGGACATCCTTGGCTTGCTCCTAATTTTAGGAGAAAAGCAAGTAGTTTTAACCAAAAACTACAATGTTTCTAATAGTTTTATTATGGTTGTTCTTTATCAGGATTGGGAAGTCCCTTTCTATTTCTACTTTACTGTGATTTTTTAAAACACAAGTGAATGTTAAATAGTGTGAAATTGTTCTGCATATATTGAGCTAATGATTTTTTTTCTTTTAGTCTGTTGATGTAGTGAATTACAGTGACTGGTTTTCAAATGTTTAAGCAACTGTGCATTCCTGGGATAACTACCACTACATCCCAGGTGGTTATGATGTGTAATCATTTTGGTATACTACTTGATTAGATTTGTAAATATGTTATTAAGCATTTTGTATCCATACTAATGAATGATATTGGGTAGCATTTTTTCCTGGAATATTTGTCCTGTAGATGCCATAAAATGATGGTCTCGTAAAATAAAAAGTATTTCTTTCTGTTTTATTATCTGGAAAATTTTGTGTTTGGTTGATATTGTTTTATAGTCAAAGATTTGGTAAAATTTAGCAGAGGAAACCTATTTGGTTTTTGACAGAGGGCTTTAATTAAGATGTCAATTGCTTTAGTAGATGTATAACTATCCAAATTACAAATGTCCTCTTGAATGAGCTTCAGAATTTTGTGTCTTTTAAGAAATTTATTCATTTTATCCTAGTTTTTGAATTTGTGGACATTAAGTTGTTCATAATATTTCGGTACTTTAATGCAAGGAGAATCTTTAGTAATACCCACTCTCTATTTTCTGATATTGGTTATTTGTATCTATTATCTCTTTTTCTTTTGTCTTCTTCAGTGTGGCTAGATTTATCAATTTATTGATCTTTGAAACAAATATTTTCTCTTGATTTTCTTTGCTTTATTGTTTCTAATTTTGATTTTATTGATTTATGATATCTTCATTATTTTTTGTTTGATTTGCATTTAAATTTGTTTTATTTCTGTAGTTTCTTAAATTGAAATCTTAGGTAATTTATATGAGACTTTAGGTCTATTCTTATCTAAGCTTTCAGTGTTACAGTTTTCACCATAAGGAGTGCTTTAGTTGAATCCATAAATGTTGATATGCTGTGATTTCATTTTTAGTTAATTCAAAATATTTTTAAATTTATATTTCTCTTTGAGTGTGGTGTGGGTTATTTATGGTGTGTTTATATTCAATTTCAAATATTTGGAGATTTTACTGATAACTTTTGGTTATTAATTTCTAGCTAATTTTATTATGGTCAGACATAAACATTTCTGTATCAATTTAGGGGTACAGCGCTGTTTGTTACGTGAACATATATTGCATATTGGTAAAATCTGGGCTCTTAGTGTAACCATGTTCCCAATAATGTACATCGTTACCTATTAAGTAATTTCTCTTTTTCATTCCCCTCCCAACACCCAAGTTTTCCCAGTCTCCAATGTCTTATTCCACACTCTGCATCCACATGTATACATTATTTAGCTACTACTTAAAAATGAGAACATGCAGTATTTTACTTTCTGGTACTGAGTTATTTTACTTAAAATAATGGCCTCCAGTTACATCCATGTTGTTGCACGATACATGATTTTATTCGTTTGCATGGCTGAGTAGTATTTCATTGTGTGTGTGTATGTGTGTGTATATATACATATATACATATACATATAATGTATTTATATGTATTTAAGTGTATATATAATATATGTATGTATGTGCTTATATATACAGACACACATATGTAAATTTTATACTACACATACACTTCACATTTTTTAATTTATTCATCCATTGGTGGACACTCAGGTTGATTTCATATATTTGCTATTGTAAATAGTGCTTTGATAAACATATGCGTGCCGGTATTTGTTTGATAAAATAATTTATTTTCCTTTGGGTAGATACCCAGTAGCGGTATTAGTAGATTATATAGTAGTCCTTTGTTTAGTTCTTTGAGACATCTCCAAAGAATATTTCCATATGTTTTCCACAGAGGTTGTACAGATTTACATTCCCACCAACAGTGAAAAGTGTTTTGTTTTTTTTTTTGCATTGTTGCTAACATTTGTGATTTTTTTGTCTTCTTAATAATACCACTCTGATTGGTATAAGATGATAGCTCATTGTGGCTTTAATTTGCATCTCTCTGATGATTAATACTTAGCATTTTCATATGGTTTTTGGCCATTTTTATATCTTCCTTTAGAAAATATCTGTTAATGTCTGTTTCCTACTTTTTAATGGGTTATTTGTTTTATTGTTGGGTTGTTTGTTTAGATTCTGGATATTAGTCCCTTGTTAGATGCATAATTTACAAATATTTCCTCCCATTCTGCAGGTTGTCTGTTCATACTGTTGATTTATTTTTCTCTGCAGAAACTTTTTGTAGTCTTATTAAGTCTCATTTGTTGTTTGCTGTTTTTTGTTTCATTTGCTTTTGAGGTCTTAATTATGAATTTTTTGCCTAGCCCAGTATCTAGAAGAGTTTTCCCTAGGTGTTCTTCAAGTATTTCTGCAGCTTCAGTTCTTACATACAAGTTTT